GTCTTTGTTTGATGGAAAACTCTATATTTTTTTCTAAAGTAAATAGTATTTTTGTTCTAGAAGAGGTTTCCCTTTAAAACTCCCCGATGCCACATTTACCTGATCACAAATACAGTAGAAACTGAGGTGGTCTTACATTTAAAGATGTAAGCTGTTTATTAAATGAACATACAGTACTATAAACACTGAATTTCAGTCACGTTTAGAAATCTGTTTTAAATGAGGATTTGATGATCAAGACAGCGTTATGAGGATTATTATCAGTCTTTAAAGATCAAAACCACAGCATTTGTTTATAGAGGTAAAGTTGGTTTTATATTCACACATTCATTCATTTAGAATCTCTAGATTGTTTACCATGTTATGTTGAACATTCGATTGAAATTAGCATGCAAGTATGACTTTAAAACAGCATTAACACTATCTTATTCACTGTGAACAATGTTGTACTTTGATAGTCATTTGCTGCTAATATGATTTCCCTATTTAGAATTTGCAAAGAATACTTTTCTGAAATTATTTTATTAAGGAGATTGTCTGAATATGCGAATATTAAACCAACTTTACCCCTATCATTTGTTTCAAATCTTTTGAAAGGTTTTACAGCTTTGATCATTGCTGGATAAAAGAGTCAGTTTAAAAGTTCCATACATTCAAAAGTATCAGTTTAAATGTATCAGTTTAAAAGTTCCATACTTTTAAATGTATAAGTTATAAAGTATGGATTTAAAAAGTATCGGTTCAAAGGTTTGATGCTTTTTAAATGTATCACTTTAGAAGTGTCAGTTTAACAGTATAAATTTTAAAAGTATTGGTTTAAAAGTTTGGTACTTTTTAATGTATCGATTTAAAAGTATCAGTTTAAAAAAATTTGGTTTAAAAGTATCAGTTTAAAAGTTTGATACTTTTAAATGTATCGGTTTTAAAGTATCGATTTGAAAAGTATTGGTTTAAAGTTTGATACTTTAAAAAGTATTGGTTTAAAAGTGCCAGTTACTTTCAGATTTTTGAGCTAGTTTTGAACTTTAACATTACATTTGTGACCCTGGAGCAACAAACTAAATAAATAATCTTTCTATTGGTGAATTGTTTATGATGGACAATATTTGACTGGGATAAAATTATTAGAAAATCTGAAAAAAATCTAAATATTTAGAAAATCATTTTTACGGTTGATCAAATTCCATTCTTAGCAATGCATATTTCTAATCAACAGTGAAGTTTTGATCTATTTACAGTAGGAAATGTACAAAATGTCTTCATGAAGTGTGATCTTTACTTGAATGATTTTTGGTATTAAAGATAAATCCATCATTTTGGCTGATTGAGTGTTTTGTCGGCTGTTGCTACAAATACACCTGTGCAATATATGACTATGTTTGTGCTCCAGGGTCATATTTTATTGCCAGTATGATCTAAAGTCAGAGTTGACTGCAACTGTAAATGAGTGATGAGTGAAGCTGAACAACACATGCACAACTCCTCACACTGTAAATCTACTGTACTCATTTTCTCAACATCTTCACATTCTAAACACTAGATATTTATTCGCCTTCCTGTGAAATTGAATTTATATATATTTCTGAAATGCTGTCTGACATTATTTTGAAGACATTTTTCAAACATAATAGCTTTAATAACTCCTTTCTAATAAATCATTTCATTTCTCTTTGGCATGAGGACAGCCCATAATAGTTTACTAGATTTTTTCAGGATACTTGTATTCGGCTTAAAGTGACATTTAAAGGCTTAAGAATCAATTTCTTAATGGGGTTAAAAATATTGACCACAGTTATTTTTACAAAACTTTATATTAGCCAAAAACTTTCCCCGGAAAAAGAAATATAGGAAATATTGTGAAAAATGTCCTTGCTCTGTTAAACAGCGCTTGGGAAATATAAAAAATAAATAAATGTTCACAGGAAGGTGTATAATTTCTGCAGTATTAATAATCCATCATGTCCTGCTGAAGCAATAAGGTTTAGTAATAATAATGGTGAAAGCATGAGCGTGTGGGTTTGATGCCGCTGGGCTTTATTTGAACTGTTAGAAATGAACTCCAGAACTGAGATTAATCCAGATGTATTGTCATGAAGGATTATGCATAACTCATCTCATTGTGTATTAAACTATTTTATACCATATTCTGTCTCAAATCGTGCTCTTTATTTGTAATATGCTGATTTATTGAAACATGAATACAGTTACTGGAATTACAAGGTAAAGGGAGTCACCCATTATCTCAGCTGAACAAGTTCATAACTTTTATTTTAAACTAAATTACAAAGATAGTTTATCGCTAATAGTTATTTCAAAGATTATATTTAACTTACTAAGTATGTGGGACTGTTATTTTGAAAACGCAACCCGCGCAACACGTTCAAACTCGCCACAGGACGCAAAATGCAAGATTTACAGATTCTACGATTATTCAGCTCCACTCTGCTGAGGTTTAAGGTATGTTTTATTGTGTTCTTTGTTCATTTGTTGAAATTTAAAGCGTATGTTTCAACAAACACTTGTAGAATCGTGTCAAATCTAATGGGTCATATCACTCTGCTCAACCGTCATCTGCTCATGCCCCTGATGCGTAGTTCTGGCTGTTCTTTCCTTGACACTGTAGCTTTAAATACAACACGATGCCGGTCTCTTTCATCAGGTTTAATTATGATTCAGCCTTTATCCATAACCTGTGGGCAAAATAGGGTAACATTGCTCCAATGGGTGTATTTTTGACCCAGTTCAGCCAGCGTACATCAGGAGTGTTCAAACTCGGTCCTGGAGGGCCGGTGTCCTGCAGGTTTTAACTCCCAACTTGCCTCAACACACCTGCATGGATGTTTCTAGAAAGCCTAGTAAGAGCTTGATTAGCTTGCCCAGGTGTGTCTGATTGGGGTTGGAAATAAACTTTGCAGGACACCAGCCCTCCAGGACCGAGTTTAGACATTCCTGGCGTACATCATGTGTGTGTGTGTGTGTGTGTGTGTGAGGGAGCTACACGTCAGAACAGAGCTCATTAATATTCATGACACAATTCAAATATGGTCAATTTTGGAGCTTCTGATTCTAGGTGTATTTTATGGAGTATGAAATGAGCATATAAAACCAAAGTCATAAACCTGCTATGTAGATATCGGAGAGCAATGGGGTATATATACACTGACTTTTAATTAAACAGTTTTCTTAATTTCAGTCAGCCAGCCCCTGGGCTTCAGGGGAATTGTCATCCCATGCAAAATCACTGCGTTTAAGATCTGATTTCTTCAAAAAACAGCGATCTTCACTGTCTGACTGAGATACGATATAAAGCCGGCATCAGACCAAACAAGAAGCACTGCATTACGTTATATTTTTCTGCAACATGTCTTTAAAATACGGAAATATTAGCCCTGTATTTTCAGTGTAATTTCTGAGCTATCCTGCTGCTAATGATGCTGTTTAAATGGTCTCATGACTCTTTTTACACTTTGTGTGGTTTATTCATAAACTAATTTCGAGAGGATCACGTGCTTATAATCAACACGGCTGGCTCCTTGTTAGCTCTGTAATCAGCCCTATTAGATGATTACGGAAGCATTATAAATAACCTGAGTTTTCCACTCCAGTTATCTTCGTCTTGAAGCTCTCCCCCTTTCCACCCCTACATCCTCCCACTTTTTCTGATCGGGCGACACGGTGGCCCAGTGGCTAGCACTGTTGCCTCACAGCAAGAACACCGCTAGTCCAACCCATCGGGCTGGTTGGTGTTTCTGTGTGGAGTTTGCATGTTCTCCCCGTGTTCGCGTGGGTTTTCCCCTGTTTCCCCGGTTTCCTCCCTCCGTCCAAAAACATAAACCATAGCCAATCGACTAAAACAAATTATCACCCAATACAACCTGAGTTTACACTTCTCACGGTGACAAGCAGGGGAGTTCTCGAGACCTACCTGACCTCGAATTCCCCTCTCGCCCTTCTAACGGGAGGGAGCCCCGGGCTCGAGGATATTACGAGCTCAGGGCTCTCTCCCGGGACAGCATGCCAAATACGCTTTATTGATTATCAGCTACGTGTGAACTCTTGAAAACAACTAAATGAACGCAGAAGTCTATTCAACTGAATGTGTTGTAATAGCATCACAACATCCATGCTGCAAAAACAACCTTATGAAATTGACGATAGTCACATTAAACTTTCACCGGAGGTTTATCGTAGGCTTTAATACTCTTGCTGTGCATTGAGCCCATCTGTGGAGGGAAAATGAGTTTAAAAATCTGTTTAGATATTTTTAATAACTATATATTCAACAAAGGCGGCGACACCAAAGCTCCAAAAATACAATTTATTCAATTAAAAAGGCTGAAGCAAAGCGTGTAATGTTTCCAGTCATTTTGTGTGTTATTTTTAATAGCTAACCTATCGAAAGCAAAACTCAGTCAAAATTGTCACATTAAAGAAAACCGTCTGATTTTTATTAAAAGTAAACTTTTTGGTTAAAATACATTTACAAATGGCTGCATCTCAATTGGCCTACCATGCGTCCTAAATAGTATTTAAAGACCGCATCAGTGCATCTGTAACTGCAGTGCAGAGGATCCCGGATGCTCCACTGTGTCTGCTAGAATGTAGAAGCGTCTGTTTTCTGATATTAGATTAGCTGTAGTCGAGTGTAGTAGAGAGGCTTTGCTAAAGTTGTTTTAATGACTGTTCACTAATATCTAGTCCACTGGAGAATACTTCAGTCACATTAGCTGTGTGATATTTCAGTGTGAGCTTCTATAATGACGTGTTTGGACATTCACTTCTGCAGACACTGAGGAGATTTCTCTGCATGACACACTCCTGACCGGCAGATTAACCTGCGGCTGAATTTACAGTATTGTAGGAAATAAATGAGCATCTCACAGTCATCTCCACATTTCTGTCATGAGTATGAGAAATGAGACGCAACAAATCTTTCTAGTGAAGTATTCAAACAGTGGGAGATCAGGATACACTGATTCACAACAATTGACATGAACGGCTCTGTCAGAAACAGCTGCTGTTTATTTTGAACAGAAAGAGTCACTGAAGCGGTGTGTGTGTGTGTGTGTGTGTGTGTGTGTGTGTGTGTGTGTGTTTTCGAGTCTCCTCTCTCTGGTGTCCCCGCTCTGTCTCTCTCCATCTGGGTTCCACGTGTGTGTGTGTGTGTGTGTGTGTCAGTATGTGTGTCGGTGTGTTCTGTCCTCTGTGTGTGTTCTCTCGTGTCTCCTGTCTCTGTAGTCTCTCCTGTCCCGCTCCCGCTCCGTCTCTCTCCCTCTGGGCTCCGCGGGTCTCCTGGTGCTCAGGTTGATGGGCTTCCGGAAGGGTCTGTCTCGTCCTCCGAAGCGCAGCTGTCCGGACTCCTTCTGTCCGCCCTGTCCTCCACCCAGGCGCCGGGGCCTCCAACCGGGCAGCGTTCGCTCCTGCTCCACATCCACCAGCAGCTCATACTGATCCAGGATCAGCTTATTAGCGTCCCGCCAGGCTCTCTTCAGCGAACGCTCCTCTTTATACTCGATGAAGGCGTAGCGTTTGGAAAAACCCGTCACCACGTCCCGCACCAGACGCAGCCTGCAGACACACACATGCACATGTTCAGTCATTAATCAGTGATGAAGTGGATCAGACTAGAGCTGCACAATCAAGCTCTTACTAGGCTTTCTAGAAACATCCTTGCAGGTGTGTTGAGGCAAGTTGGAGCTAAAATCTGCAGGACACCGGCCCTCCAGGACCGAGTTTGAACACTCCTGATTTAGAAAGTTGTGATGCTACCATCAAACTACTAAGAAATGTAAAGCAGAATAGCAGCACTTTATCAAATATCCTTAGCAGAAGGCATTTCGCATATCAAAAACAGGTAAAGCAACAGGTTAATATTAGTCAGCATATTCCAGATTTGTAAAGAATATTTACAAATTATATTTGAAAATATAATATTTTAGATGTAACCCCATTTGTAATCTTTAACATTTTCATAAGTAACTGTAATTTTGTTTTCAGTAACTGTAATGAATTACTCTTACTTGTTATTAAATAACGTAACGCCGTTACATGTAACTAGTGACTCCCCAACACTGATTATATACGTATAATAAACAAACTGCAGTCATAGTTAAACACAATGGAGCAAATGTTGAAGTGAAATAAACAGTGACTTATGGTTTACTGGAGAGTATTTAACAGTATTCTGACTAAAGATTTAGTAATCAGATGTAAACGAGCATTGCAGAGTCTTCATCATATAAATGAAACAAATTAGATTTTTTAGAACTTTTTCATGCTCTTTATGTACTCTTAAAATGTTTCCACAGACCTTAAAACACGTGTAAATCTTAAACTTTCTCTCTATAATGGTTCAATTCTGCAGTGTGTACAAATATTTTTGACCTGTGTCTGGCCGTCTATATTCATAACTCAACATTGCATATCCTGCGATGCGACTATTGCAGATGCACACATTGCGATGTCGATGCTCAAACGATATATTGTGCAGCCCTGATGCAGACGGTGGTTATCTCTGAATAGAGGCAGACAGGTTAATCAGGAGCCTGAAGAAAACAACCGACTGGATGTACTTTATCCTGATTATTACACAGCTACTGGCCACTAATCAGACACAAAACATTGCTCTGAGCCATAATAGCTTATTCATTAAACAGTGCAGTACATGAAGGCGGCACGGTGGCTCAGTGGTTAGCACTGTTGCCTCACAGTAAGAGGGTCTCTGGTTTGAGTCTCAGCTGGGTCAGTTGGTGTTTCTGTGTGGAGTTTGCATGTTCTCCCCGTGTTGGTGTGGGTTTCCTCCGGGTGCTCCGGTTCCCCCCACAGTCCAAACACATGCGCTATAGGGGAACTGATCAACTACACTGACTGAAGTGTACGAGTGTGTATGGGTGTTTCCCTGCTGTGTAAAACATATGCTGGAAAAGTTGGTGGTTCATTCCCCTGTGGCGATCTCTGATAAATAAGAGACTAACTAAGCTGAAGGAGAATGAATGAATGAATGCAGTACATGCAGTGGTTTAAGTGTGGACATGGAGTCAGATCTACTCAGATTAGTGTAGAAGTAGCCCGAGTGCAAACTAAACAGAGGATATTAATATGTAGTTGCTATGGAAACCCTCAGGTTGACGTCAACAGAAGGAGCCAATCCAGACGCAGAAGCAGATCCTCAGATTTTGATTAAAGATTACCAAAACAAACTATTTTTCTCAGTAGATTATCTTGAATTAATTATTCAGCCAAAGAGTAACCATGTGAGCTGGCAAAATACAGACTGTGAATTTAGATTTCCAGCTGACTCTCAGGATTTAAAGCAGAAGCCTACCTCCGGATGTCCCCGAACTTGGAGAAGACGTCTCGGAGCTTTTCTTCGGTGGTCTGCGGGTTGAGGCGGGCCACGAACAGAGTGAGGTCAGGGTCTCCGCAGACTCCTCTGTTGGGTTTATAGCGCGCCAGCATCGCCCGCCACACCCCCGCATCATGAGGTTCCACATCTGTGCCGTCAATGCTGCCCGCTTTCAGAGGGTCGTACACCTTCGCCACCGGACTCCACTCCATCTGAACAACACACGGCTAATCATCACGCTCAGGAGACATCATTACAGGTAAAACACGGGTCACACAATAATAGGCCTTAAGAAACAAGTAAAGTAACACAAGTAAAGCAAGTCATAATATTTGAGTTTATTTTTTTATGTAATGCAAGTTACTTTTTAATTTATTTATCTTTTACAAAATAAAGAGCTGAATTAAACGGAGCAGTGACTCTGGTGCTGGACGAGCGGCCGCAGGAACAGACAGACAGCAGGAAGGCTTCGGCTTACATGTGCACTGCTGGAGATATGCTCATTATTCTGAACACATGAAGAACAGGAGACGGAGATTATAGTCTCAATCACACTGATTTACTGCACTAATGAGCCTAAAAGCAGCAAACACACTGCTGTACACTCTCATTAATCTGTATACACAGCATGCAGAGCTCTGGCTTATCCTACATTAGCATTATTAATGTGTTTAAAGGTAAATGAAGGGTATTCAGTGTGTTGGTTATTGCAGAGCTATATAATAGCTATAAATAAACAAGTTCTGAAAGAGATCAAACTTTACACAGGAATGAAAAAGTAACGCAAATGTAATGCATTACTTAACATAAAGAGTAACTAAGTGACGCAACTAATTACTATATAGGGCAGTAGCTCAGTATCGTAATGCATTACTTTCAGAAGCATCTCTCCACAACACTGTCAGTAGAGCTGCACAATATAGAAACAGACTATTGCAATTACTGTATATGAGCAATCCCATGCAAATGTCAACCTTGGCATCAAAAACATCAAGGTTACACCAAAATAGAGACCAAAATTTCTGCTTTTGTGTGTGTGTTAAGTATTTTACAGAACTTTAAAATACTCAAAACTATTACATTTGATTTGCAAATTTCACATCAGTCACATCCATAAGCAAGCTTTTCCCTCATATATGCATAAATATTCAGTCATATCAGTCATGTTTGTACTGAAGTGAGCCGCTCTTCTGCTTTGATTAGCATTGTTTTGTTTGGTTTGTGCAGTTTAACTCACAGAATTTCTACAAAGTATGTTGTTGACTGTAAACCCGCAGACTTTTTTTGATCATATCCATAACACATGTTTATTTCCCTCATTTAAAATATAAAACATGTTTACAGATTGAGATTTTTCTAATCCCATAACTCTGTGGTCAGTTATTTTGGAAAATATAAACCGATGCTGCAGTATAATGTTAACATCTACTGTCTCTGTCAATGTGTGTTTTGAGTTTTTACTGCAAACCTCACATCCATAATGCTGGAATTGCTCATATGAAATATCAATATCGCAGGGATGTGCAATAAATGAAATTAATGCACTGGTGTGACGCATACACAGGTAATCTAAATCTGACCAATCAGAATAGGCCTTTACTGTCTTTATCTCCGCCTCTCCAACGGCTGAACACACACACTAATGCTGGGAGAGCAGAGAGATGAGGCTCGATCAGGCTGATTCTGCTTTCAGAAGGAGGTGGTCAGGTGTGACAGGGTGATGTTTGGGTGTGAAGTGCCCCTTTAAGCGTCATGTTTCTGTTCAGTGTAGAGTTGATATGACTGATTGGAGATCAGCACAGCGGTGTGGGAGAAAATAAGCAGTAAATACAGGGCTCTTGATTATTTCTAACGTTATGGCTGAACTATTAATTACTGGAGTCCAAACTAACTAAATGACCACAGATTTAAAACACTAAATCAGTTTGTAGTAAATACTGTAGTGTCTTGAACAATACTATGGTTAAGTACTTGAATTAATCTGATACTATGCTGACACAACTATAGTAATATAAATGAGCCAACACTCTAGTCCTCCACAACGACAGGGTATATTATACTACAGTACATCTCAGTTTACTGTAGTAAACACTAAAGTATACTGCTGTATTTATTAGTTCACTACCTTTAATACTACATTAGGCTGTAGCATTCGTTAGCAGACACTAATGCCGTAATATATATTCAGTGTAATATATTTACTGTAGTATTTGTTTCCTTGTGGGTATTTTAAATGCTCAAATGACTCGTAATATGTTTTAGGATATCGCTGTTATATTCGATAACAAACCAACACTTGTTTAAAACTTAATGTGTTGTTATCTTTTTAAAGTTTGAATACTGCTCATATTTCATATTTAACCCTTGATAATGACCGCAGATCATATTATTTTAACAGTTCAGTGATGGAAAAGAATCATAACAAACCTCAAGTGTGTGCGCCGTCTTCAAATCATGTCCGTGCGGAAACCGTGGCTGCGCTGTTAACGGGCCGCGGGCGCAGATCGCTGACGTCACCGAGTCTGAGCCGCTTCCCGCGCAAACCTGTACTCGAGGCGTCCTTTGTTGATCTCAGCGTTAAATTAAATGCTCAAATGTTAGTTTATGTTGGTAGAAAGCACATTGAGTGGAATTAAACTGTCTACGATCACGTTTAAAATAACGAAATAGTCCGAATATAGGTGAAATCATCGCCGATCAGAGTATAGATATATTCACAAAACAAAATGGCGCACGTATTCAGAGCCGTGCGAGTTATTAAAATATAGTCAAGATTAGGTGATGTTACCAAACCTGAGTCTGATGGAAATTGTGTAAAAACTTCAAGGATAAATATTTGAGATAACAATGATTCCTATAATAGACAAAATGTGATTAGTCAACCCTAATTAAACAGCTGATCAATTAATGAAGGTGTTCAAGACTACCAGAGATTATTAAGCAGGTTGGAGCTAAACTATGCAGAGCTGTGGCCCTCCAGGAATCGTGTTTGAGACCATATTTATAGGATAATTGTTTAAAAACAAAAACTTATGCAGTCACATTCTAATGTTAAGTATATATTGTTAGGTCCTCTTTATTAAAGGGACAGTTCAACCAAATCTTTTATTCTGTCATTTACACATTTTTCCAAACCTGTTTGAGTTTCTTTCTTCTGTTGTTTCTTATAGAAGAAAACAGCCATTAACTTCAATAGTATTACTTGTTCCTACTATGGAGGTCATCAGTGGCTCATTTTTAGCCAAATATTCTTCAAAATATCTTGTTTGTGCTCAGAATTGGTTAATATTTGCGATAAAGTAGTGTGTTTATTTTCTTTGATTAGTTGCTCTTTAAAACCCAATCGATTGATGCAAAGCATGACTATCAAGTCAATTCAGTGCTATATAATAAGCTGTAAATGACAACAGCAGCAATCATTGCATAAAATCATTTATTTAACTATCATCATCATCATCGTCGTCGTCATCAAACAGATGGACTGGAACTGCTTCCGTAGGAGCGTTTGGTCATTGTGTGTAACAGATATACAGTTTTTGTTCAGATTAATCACGACACACACTCATTTGCACAACGTTAATGTTTCAAATAATATCAAAGTTAGCCTTCACATTCCAGTTTTCTGAACCTTGTTTTAAAACGCCGCTCCTACTTATGTTAGTTAGCGTCTCCGGCTTTCTGCTTCAAACACAAATGTTTGGGCATCATAAATAATTATTGCTAAGCCTCTAAACTACCTTACATTAGATTAAGAAAACCCTTTATAAAAATGCAGAAAGTTGGACTATAACTGCATGCTTTGGAAGCACTGATCTACCAATATATAAAACATACAAAAAAAGAAAATGTGCCGAAACTAGCATGTCATAGAGCAGGATAAATATCTTAAAAGTAGGACAGTACCGCAAATCTACCATGTGTAACACTCACTATCCCCGACATTCTGTTTCCTAAGGCAATAATTCGATTAAAAGGGTCTAGATGAGAGACGGTGTTAATGTTTGAGCCACGGGTGCGCCTCGATGGAGGATTTACTGCGGTCGCCGTAATCGTACAGCAGCTCTTCTCCTTCCTGGATGTCTCTGGACGCCACCAGGATCAGGTGAGGTTTTCCGGCGATGGCGTGCAGTTTGGTTTGACAGTTCCCGTTTTTACTGTGGTTGATGAGCCGGCCCAGCCGATCCGACTCCTTCGTAGCGTCCACACTGATGGAGGGACAAAGAGACATGCATGGAAACAAGACTGAACTAAAAAACAGAGGGAAAAAGTCCAAATGTAATAATAAAAAAAAAAAAGAAGTCTGAACTGCAATGGAAAATAGTCAAAATCTTAAGATTTGTCAGGAAATAAATTCTGAAATGTGTTGTGTAAACAGCGGCCATTTAAACGTTTACATTTCACTCATTTTCCTTCAGCGTAGTCTCTTTTTCAAGAGTCTCCACAGCGGAATAACCCACCAGCTTATCCAGCATATGTTTTACACAGCTGATGCCTTTCCAGCCGCAACCCATTACTGGGAAACACTCATACACCTTCACACACACTACAGCCAGTGTAGTTGATCAGTTCCCCTATAGCGTATGTGTTTGGACTGTGGGGGAAACCGGAGCACCCGGAGGAAACCCACACCAACACGGGGAGAACATGCAAACTCCACACAGAAACACCAACTGACCCAGCTGAGACTCGAACCAGAGACCTTCTTGCTGTGAGGCCACAGTGCTAACCACTGCGCCACCGTGCTGCTACTTTTAAACTTCTAGACATAAACAGTTTGCTTTTTAAAAGGTCAGAACTGCAAAATCTGCAATGGGAACAAAACAAGTCAGAATTTTAAGATGTAAACTCAGATTTGGAAGAAAATAAAATCTGAATTGTGAGCTTTAAACTTTAAAATATATATAAAAATATAAATTCTGACCAAAATCAAACCTATAAATTAGCATTTAAACTTTTAAATTTTAACTTTTTTTGTTGTTGTTGTTGCTAGAATTGCATGGTGGAAAATTACAGAAGAGGAAATCCAAAAAAAAGACACGGATGAAGGGAAAATGCATGGAAATCAAGACAATTTAAAATCAGCAAAGGTCAAAAAGGTATTTTCAGAAAGTCAGCATGTTGAGACGTAAACTAAAGTTGTGTGTTTAAATAAAGTCGTGAGATTTAAACTGCAGCGATTAAAACTTCCTGCACAATGACAGATTTAAAACGTAATCTTAGAATGACTCAAAAGCCTGTAAACGTTCATATTGCAGACATCAAAATGCATAAGTAAGAAAGTGAAGAACTGCAATGGGGAAAAAGGACAGAAGTTTGACATTTGTTTTGTGACGAAATAAAGACTCAATTGTGAGATTTAATCTGAAAATTGACATAAAATATATTTAAAAAACTAAATACATTTAGTCAAGTCTGAAATCAGGAAATCAAGTCTAAATTTACACCGCTGCCATTTATATGTATATATATATATATATATATATTTTTTTAATAATTTTCATTGATTTCCTAAAGCACAGGTGTCAAACTCCGCAGCTCTGCACAGTTCAGCTTTAACACTATTAAACACACCTGATGAGACTAATCGAGTCTTTCAGGCGTTTGAAACCTGCAGGTTATGCTGTGGTCACACCAGAGTTTGAGCATGTGACATTCTGCTGTACGGCGCTGTGAAAAGGAGCAGGATTAAACAAGATGATTAGACATGTAAAACAGCGAGCGATTGCTCCATGTGTTCGATTTCTGTCCACAGAGGTCATGCTTTGCTCTGGATCGGTCTCACACAGTCCAGTGATGCGATTTCACAGGTCAGAGTTCACCAAGCTTGAACTTTGCACCGCAAAATTTGTCGCATGACCCAGCGTTTCCGGTCTGACACGTTTGCGTGAGTATGAATGGAAGTCTATGGGGAGAGCAGTGCAGTGTGAGCGCAGCTTAAAGGCTCCTACACACCGGGACGCTTTTCATTCGTGTTTATCGTCAGCGTTTTACCAGACGCTTTTCCGGATTCAAACCCAATCGATTTTCACTTGAGTATGCAAAATAACTCCCTGACATTAGACGGCGCTACACAACTTTAAGCTTCCGACACCCGCTTACAACACAGAAGAAGAGGAGGAGAGGAAGTTCACACGCTTGTTGTTAAAGTTACTGACCCGAACAAGCATGGATGGTTGAAGCAGCAGCTCCAGTGATGAAGAACTGATTAGTGTTCACAGAGCAATCAGCAGCTCCACGCTCATATTACTGATGCCCGTTCATGAACCATTAGTTCATTTTGAACTCGGGAACTACGAGATCTCTCAGGGAGTGATTCGTTCATCCGCGCGTGCGCACACCTGTGCAGGTGGTGTTGTTCATTTCAAGTCTTTTGAGTCGTTCATCACGGAAAGGCAGAAGCCAATCATATGTGTTTAGAGCCGGAAAAAGAATTGATCCGTTCACCTCTCGAGTCATTCTGTCACGTGATGAACGAACCAACCAAAACACTCGAAAGGTGAAGTAATCATCATGGCTCCTATCGGCTCAGACTGTGTACTTTGGTTAAGATTATATGTGACTGTCAGTGTAACGTGAACGAATCTCTGACATTTGAAGACATGAAGACAAGACACTGAACCAAATTAACAAATGACTCGAAAAAAAGATTCGTTCTGAGTCAGTAAAATGATCCAAACTTCCCATCACTAGGGCTGCGTCTGAAACCGCCTACTACTCAGTGGGTGCTGCATTTGAATGTAAACGTACCACACGGCCGTTAGAAGAGCGGCTTCTATACAGTATGAATGTGAAAAGTATGAATGGAATTGGGACGTACTACATCCGCCATCTTTGTCATGGTCACGTGACCTACCTGTGTCAATTGCGTCGCTTTACTCCCATTCATGAATTCTCTCGCGGGGCATCATGGGATAGCACAGCATGCATGGGATGCGCACTGTAGAATCTCGCTTACTGATTTTCCAATTCTATAAATTCGGACACTACTCTGCTCACATACTGATTTTAGCGTACTGTATAGTGTGGAAGTATGCGGTTTCGGACGCAGCCTAGTTCATATCGCCTCTAGACATCTTCTTCAATGTGCGCTCGCATTGACAGTTTTGCGCTTGAGCGCCTCCAAGTGCTGTTTACTGTAACTTCAGCAGCTCCGTGCACGTGAACTAAAGTGCAGATCTGATTGGTGGAGAAGGTTTTGATGCTGCACGTCAAATAAAAAAAACTAGCATGAGGCGTTTTTTTGTAAATGATGCGAGTGCGGGCCTTAAGTGTGTTAAAGCAGGGATGGAACTAAACTGCAGAGCTGCGGCCCTCCAGGAACTGAGTTTAACACCCGTGTAGTAAACGCTGCCCAATTCAAAATAAAACAATGTAATAAATAAATACAGATCTAAATAAACTTAGACTTTGGCAAAAACTTTTAGGGAGGTTTGAGGATTAAATGCAGGATTACTATAAAGCCTCGAGTGTGCAGTCCTTAATGAGCATAAAGAGTCAGAGTCATACCAGTATGTTTTGCTGAGATACTGGAAGTAGTACATGTAGCAGCCGGTGGAGGGGTCTTGTGCGTATAGAGCCTCTCTCTGCTTGGCGTCTGTGATCTGCAGCAGATCTCCGTGATATTCCACCACATACTGACCCTTCTGGAACGGCTGCGTCGCGAAAACCCCACGACCCTTCCCCTCGATGAAGCGCACCTGCAGGAAACACACACACACACACCTTTAATACAAGAACACACACACACAGCATTAAAGAGATCTGATGGAGAAACTGCTTTACCATCATCCCGTCCTCGATGCCGTTGCTGATCAGTGTGTCGATGTGCTGCTTCTCTTCATACTGTCATCAAAACACACACACACACACATTGCCTGTAAATCAGCCAGGTTTCTGCTTGTTAATGTTTCTGCTGTTCATCTGGGTGACGGATGTTTGGGTTTAATATGAGTCTGATTTTCATATTGATGAACTGTGATTATAAATCAGCCGCTCTGTGCTTCACCTTCAGTTCACTCTTGCTCTTTCTGGAGCTTCTTCTGATGGGGAAATAATCGGTGACCTTCCGGTTTGCAGGACTCTTGCTCTCAGCACTGAAAGATTCAACATTAAACAGAGAAACAGTAATATCAGGATTTACACTCTGAGAGTGCATGTGCTGTGTGTAATGTGCATGAGACAGCATCCTGAATTATTCTACAGCACTTCATTATTAGATCTTTCACTGGTGTTTGATGTTGCTTTAGTTCCTGTTTCTGTAAAGCACTTTGTGTATGATATCTGCCATAGAAATACACTTTCCTTAATTAAAACATTTTTTTAATCAAATAAGGTATATTTAAATAATAAATAAATATGATGCATTATAAATATTCAAATAAAGGATATATATATATATGCAGGGTTATATATACACACATTTGACTTTCTTGCATGTCTATATACACTCACTGGCCACTTCATTAGGTACACCTGTCCAACTGCTCGTTCATGCAAATTCCTAATCAGCCAATCACATGGCAGCAGCTCACTGTATTTAGTAAGCATGGATCATCCTGCCTTGTATCAGCGGTTCAGGCTGGTGGTGGTGGTGTAATGGTGTGGGGGAGATTTTCTTTGGGTCCATTAGTACCAATTGAGCATCAACGCCACAGCCTACCTGAGTATTGCTGCTGACCATGTCCATCCCTTTATGAGCACAGTGTCTCCATCTTCTGATGGCTACTTCCAGCAGGATAACGCAGCATGTCATAAAGCTCAATCATCTCAGACTGCTGAACATGACGATGAGTTCACTGTACTCAAATGGCCTCCACAGTCACCAGAGCTCAATCCAATAGAGCAGCTTTGGGATGTGGTGGAACGGGAGATTGGCATCATGGATGTGCAGCCGACAAATCTGCAGCAACTGTGTGATGCTATTATGACAATATGGAGCAAAATCTCTGAGGAATATTTCCAGTAGTTTGCTGAATCTCTGACATGAAGGATTAAAGCAGATCTGAAGACAAAAAGGGGTCCAACCCAGCACTAGTGAAGGTGTACCTAATAAAGTGGCCGGTGAGTGTAATTGTAAGTTTTATTTTAGTACTCAAATTGAGATCTAGCTGGGTTTATAGTTAATTGTTACTAGTAATAAATGTTCTTGTGTGTATCTGTTATTTATATAGTTAAATTGTTTCCATGCAGCTAAAATTATTTGCCCTTCTGTGAATTTTTTAAAAATAATTTATTAAAATTAGGTTAAAAATGTTAAAATAAATATTTTCTACATTAAACACCTGAAAAATCTCAACAAAAACAACAACAATAATGTTAATAATAATAATAACAAAAAGATAATAATAATAATTCCCAGGAGGATAGGTAGTTTGGTCTTCGTGTATCCTCTAACACATGTAATGTCTGAGTGTGGCAGTGTGGGGAAAGGAGGTGTGAGAATGCTGCTCTCCTCTTACGCTCTCTTGGTGGACCTCTTGACTTTGCGGCGGGCCGGCTTCCTGTGTTTAGAGGAAGTGATGTCAGCAGCGCTGTGGATGCAGTGCAGTGGAAGCGTCTGCTCGTCCTGCAGCTCTGCACTGTTGAGGAGGAACTCGCCATTTACACCACTGTCTCTCCTGGCTGAACACACACACACACACACACACACACACACACACACACACTATTTAAAGGCTCCTGTTTTACCCCTCTACAAGATGTTAGATCAGTGTTCGGGGTGTCGAGAGTGTGTCTGTAAAGCTCAAACACTCATCAGATCATTCATTATGGCCTGCTGAAGATGATCGTCCTGTTCTGTGGACGCGTTTATACGAGTTACTATGGAGACATGTTAAAGGGTCAGGAAACACCAGAACACATGTGTTGAGCTGTTGACAGTGGTATATGTGTCCCACACTGCTATAAACACTATTAGGACACCTATATTTCACTAAAAAGTGTAAATTGGTTGTTTTTGCGTGTATTCCAGCAAATTCGTACTTCTGGTTTGAAACTAATTTTTGAAGCTGCGTCACGGTCATGACATAATAGCGTGTATTCCAGCGTGCAGACTGGACGTCTGTGCCAGAGTGTGTCTTATTACGTCTTACAGTGTGCTGCATTAATGCATGAGTAAGGCTTGGTTCAAACCAATCAGCGCGCTCTATTGTGCAACTTCATTAATATTCATTACTGTCACAGTGTAGACGACAGAGACGCCACGTTGTGTTGGCAAAACAAGCGTGAAGTGTTGCTTTTATAGTTTGCTGCAGTTCAGTTTTGTTTTCATTTTCTCTCTGTGAGAGCTCAGCTGGAGTCACGTGTGGATTAACAGTGTACGCGACGCTCCACAACAATAACTTACGTGTCTAAGGAGGATTATAGTTTACCTGAGAGCTGTTCTCATCTGCAAACGCTGAGATCCGGATTCGCTTTAGTCTCCTCTTAATACAGACGCGGCTCTAGTTGCTGGTGATTGTCCTGTCTCTACAGATTTGGTAAGTGAGCGGCCAGTGCTCTTTGTTTATTCAGTTTGTTCGTATCGAACTAAGTTAACTATTGCACCGAGTGTAAACATGTTAGCACTACAACCAAACTATAACCTCGTGTTGGATTTTGTGACCGGAATAACACACGCGGCTTTCTGACGCTACCTGCCGTGTGCATCTAAGTTTCCGGGAAATGCGGAGTTTTTTTTTTCTCTCATTCGCCGTGCCGTATCAAACATTGCATGAAAATACACGCTTAGAGCAGATCCTCCAATCAAATATCTGGTTTGTCGCGAGGGGCATGACTGAACTCCCTGAATGAAAGAGCCAAACTGCAGTTAAAGTCCACCATTTAATAATTAGGCAAATAATTCCACTACAGATGTCCATGTAAACACCATCACTTTGTCCGCTGTGGGTGTGTGTTTTGACTCTGAAAGTCAGCGCGCCCAAATAGACACTCCCACACCATCCCACTTTTCTTCCTCCGACACTCCCCCTAAACAGAGCTGGACACGCCCACTTTTCTGAGTTTTTCCAAAGTAGAGGTGTGAAAACACCCTGCTGAAACGAGGGGGTTTCATGGCCCTTTAATATGCAGCTGTCAATCAATTCTGTGGGCGGGGAAAGCACACTCCTACATCACACTGGTGGGCCTCAAAATCACTGGCATTATGGACACTTTGCAGAACACACACACACACACACACTTACGCTCGGGCGCTGTGCAGAACAGGCGTGTGTTTTTGTTCTCCTGGATGATCTTCACAGCGAGCGCTTCATGAGTTCTGGAGCTGCTGTGCTTCAGCAGGCGGTGAAACGCCGAGTGTCCGTTACACAGGACGTCCTGCACGCACACACACACACACACACACACACACACACACACACACATTACAGATGCAGAAGAGCAATAACACACAGCGGAGCAGAGCCGAGGCTGCAGATCAGCTGAGCTAGGCATGAGACGATAACAGTGTTCCAGGTATAAGTCAAGCTTTAAAACCACCAAAAGTTCTGCTACACCGTTCCTCAGGTATGAGCAATGCTTTTATTAACCTATTGAAGACAGCAGACGTCAATAACTCATGTTCACTATTCAGCCTGACATGTTCACTGCTCCAACATATGATACACATCTCTTAAATTAACATATATTGTGTTCAAAGGAGAAAAGGTTTTGTTTTTTACCCAGACATTAAAAATGAATATATTGTAGAGCAGTGATCATCACAATGCCATGATACTGTGATAATTATATCTGAGGTTATCAAACCGTCAGAATCTCATAGCGGCCCATATCCCTGAGCTGAACACACCATGCGTGAAGAAAATCAATGAACCCACGATCACTCAGCTCATCTTCTGCTCACAGATTAGTTTAACTAAAAATGTACATCATGCCATCCTGAAACACCGACTTCCAGAGGAATCAGATCAGACAAATGCACATTTAAAAGTGGTAAACATTATACTACAGCCATATTAACACTAGAATACCTGCATTTACACAGCACACATGCGCAGTGCTCACCGATAATGTGTGTGTGTGTGTAAACATAGCATATTTATCTTATTTAGAACATAAACAAAAGTGCAAATATACTGGCATAAAGTTATCTATTCAGAGTTATTAGCTTCATTATTAATTACTCCATCACACCAGTAAATATCACACACGTTACACTTTAACTGTGAAAGTCTCGCAGCTGAATGTGTGCAGATGATCAACACTAATAATCACACAGTAATGCAGAAGAGCAGCAGGACAGAAGAGCGATGATGATGATGATGATGAAGCTGTTGTTATTATACACACGCCCACAGCGGCCTCGAGCAGCGCTTTGTTCCTCACTTCTGCTGTAAATAACACACACACACACACACACACACACACACACACACACACACACACACACACACGGAGTCTCTCCTGGTTCCTCACCCCGCTCATGGTCGCCTCTGGCCGGGCTGTGCGGTTCTCCGGTCCGCGGTTCTCCAGGCTCCGGGCCGCTGGAGCGCATTCACGGTGAGCGCAGGAAAACAGCCGACACTGAGCGCTCCTCCGCGGACACTCTCCCCGCTGCTCACGCCGCCATGTTTGCACTTTTATCTCATTCACGGCAGGAAACATGTGAGCCTTTAAACCACCAATAATGTTCACCGGAAGAAGGAGCAGCGAGAAGCCTCCACTTCCTGTTCGCTACAGCGGCTGCTTATGAAACAAAACCACTGTTCTGGAGGAATAATAATGAGGGAAAGTCTGAGCTGTGTAGGATTTCTGTTGTACAATCACACACACACACACACGTTTTACTTTTTAATCGCTTTGTGTGTGTGTGTGTGTGTGTGTGTGTGTGTATAACTTACTCGGTTAAAAATACCACAACATATAACCCAACTATATAGGTTATATTATAGCAATTAAGCTTACCAACTATGGGTTATTTTAACCGAATGCACTGGGTTATTTTGATTAAATTTTTTTCCATTTTGGTAGCTTTTAATTTCATGCAATGCTTTATTTCCATTTGATTTTAGTTCCACTTTAGTTAAAATAAATCAAGAATCAAAAACAATGAAGAAACAGAACAAATAGACAGATATGAACTGTGCAGGCAGAAATCCTGTTGATGGAGCAGATTATGGAGCTCTGTGTGTGCTGTGGAGACTGTCCAGCAGCTGCAGCCCGCTTCACTCAGTGTCCACAGTGTACATTACATTTATACACATACAAACACTTCTCAAAGATGACCTGGGATGATGGAATGGATAAAAAAAAACACGACACGCAGAGCGAATTTGATTAAACAAATATATCCTCAGTTAAAATAGCTGGGTTAAAAACACCCCAACATATAACCCAACTAAAGGTTATTACAGCACCTCTCCAACTATGGGTTATTTGAACCCAATGCATTGAGTTATAAAATTTAAAAGCATTGGGTTATTTTGATTAAATGCTATTCTTTCCTCTCTGGTATTAATATTGCTACTAGTACTGCTTTTAATTTAATAATTAGGGCTGTGTAAATAAATAACATGCAGTTTTCAAAAATGTTGAAAATGATTTATTTCCATTAAATTTTAAGTTCCAGACACAACAAAGCGCACATTTGTATCATCAATAATGGTAAAACAGATAGAAAACAAACACGACACAGAGAGCGAATTTGATAAAAACAGCAACAATGTCGGCGCCAATAGCCTAGTGGTGAAGTGCACTGACATATAGCACCATGGAGCTCACGGCGACCTGAGTTTGATTCCCGGCTCGAGGCCCTTTGCCGACCCCGAGGCCCTCCCCTCTCTCTGCTCTCAATACTTTCCTGTCTGCAACCTCTACTGTCCTTAACAAATTAAGATGAAAAAAAAAACTAAAATAAATAAAACAGCAACAATATTATTGTGTTAGAGCTTCAATGAATGTTATAAAGGAAAAAAAATAAAAAACATTGCACATACATATTAATACAGCTGTTCTGTGTCAATTAAGGATTGAGTTTGTAGGGATAGTTTACAGTTTAACCCAAAGAATGAGCAGTCTGGTAGATGAAGAAGAGCCGGAGTCAGAGATTTAAATTAATAAATCAAGTTTACTGAAGATAGTTCTGATACATTCAAAAAGATACATTCTGAACAATATCTTAAGCATAAACGTCAGACATCCCTTAGACTGATTAGAGCTGACTCCAGACCTGTGAAACGGATCAACAATCAAATTGAACACACACACTTAAGGTATAATCTGTTTCTTATCCAAGGCTGAGTGTACTGTCAGCCGTCTTTATCCAAACTGGTTAAAAACCGCTATAATCTACATTCAGGCAGTTATATTCTTACTACACAAAGTCTATCTTGAATAAAAAGTAGAATCACTTAAAAAGATTTAACCGTAAAACTATAGCAAAATCACTTTAGACATTTTAGACAGTATTAACTCCTAGAAATAACAATAGAAACAGATGCTTCCAGTCCTCAGCCCTCAGCTCCACTCAAGGTCTCTGACCTCTGACCTAGTTTGGTGGCTTCTGAAAGTAGTTATAAAGAGACAGGCAAATGCACTGAACATTCTTATATTAAGCAATGTGTTAACTTATTCATTAATTAAAATCAATTCACAGTTAAATACTCATTCAAATGATCAAATAATTATATTTAATTAAAAAATTATGAGAAACAAGATGATGAGAAAAGGATAAACGTTGGTCCATGATGAGATGGATTGGAAAGCAGAAATCCGAATCCTTCAAGTTATTAATAAATAACCCAATAAAGGTTAAAATAACGCAGCATGTGGGTCAAACAGGACCCGGGTTTGTCAGAGGTGGCAGCGTCTTTAAGGCGGCGCACAATACTCGGGCCAGATATCAGATGTAGCATTTGGCCCAGATGCTAATAATGGACATGTGGGTCGTGTAGGTTCGGCCCGTCTCCACACATTTGTATTATGTTTGAAGAAAGACAAAACAATTCTACCAGTCAGGTCACTTGGAGGAACAGCAGGCCCAAAGCGCACCTAAAGGGCAATGCTGCATGGCTTTATCAGCTTCACTGCAGTCAGAACACACCAACAAATCCGGCCCAGTTCAGGATCAGGTAACCTGGCTGACTATTGGCCCAGATATGGTCCGTGTTTGGCTCTTGTCTGGAAGCCAGACTTGGTCCAGTCCTGTACTGGAATCCACTGTGGCATGTGGGCCAAGCAAAAGCTGGTTGTGTGGGCCAGAGATATTTTGCTATGTGGGTATATATGATAAACTAAACGTGATATCACAAAACAACAACAACAACAACATTACACACGATATTAATGCAGCTGTTCTGTGTCAGTTAAACCCGCTGACTGTTGAAATTCAAAATTTAACCCAACTGATTGAGTTATTAATAAATAACCCAATATATGTTCAAAATAACCCAGCAAAGCACCAAATATGTTTCACTCATTGGGTTAAATAAATAACTGCATTTTTTGTGTACATTTCAGGCATTTGTCATTAGTTTTCCTCCAATAATATTCAACACATGTAGCCATAATTGACAGTTAATTAAATCCATTATTAGGATAAAACAAAAATTCACTAAGACACACATTTATTGCTCAATTAATCCAGAAAAATATGTATTATATGCTGATTTTGGTCTAAAAGTATGACAATTAGACATGTCTCATGATAGTGAGTAAATCAGGAGGCATTATTGAGTTTTTATAAATGTTGTATCTTGAGAAAGCAAAATGTTCCTGCAATGCTCGAATCTACATATAGCATGAGTATATGAAGAGTGAGAGATCAAAACACATTCACTCCTACACTTCAACCTGTGACCATTTGCAGTCGCACATTTAAACCATAATGTTATAGTGTAAACATAAAGCAATCACCATAACTCTAGATCAATTGAAAGCTTAAAACGTCTTGCTTCTAAATCTGGTGACTGATTTTTAGATAATACTGAGCAACAGTTATTTATTAATTTATAACAAGGATCTTCGTCAGAGTGGCATTACTCTGCTACAGCAATCCACATGTAACAATTGTTTTTTAGAGGCTAAATTCAACTCAAATACCAGCAAACTGCTCATACTATTTTAGAATTTGATGCCTACTTTACTACTTTTACAAAAGTATGAAGAAATATTGGTCATATTCATCAAATAAATATGCAGTAATAGGGAACGGCTTTATATGGTCATCATTGTAAACTGATAGTCCTGGTGGTCATGTCTGGTACTGCGGCCAAACTAAATCTCACTCAAAGCTCATTTGGGTGTCACGGTGGCTCAGTGGTTAGCACTGTGGCCTCACAGCAAGACGTTCGCTGGTTGGATCAGTCCTGGTCCTGGCTGGGTCAGTTGGTGTTTCTGTGTGGAGTTTGCATGTTCTCCCCGTGTTGGTGTGGGTTTCCTCCGGGTGCTCCGGTTTCCCCCACAGTCCAAACACATGCACAATCAACTAAACTAGCTGTAGTATATGAGTGTGTGTGTGTGTGTATGTGTATAGGTGTTTCCCAGTACTGGGTTGCAGCTGCTTTGTAAAACATATGCTAAAATAGTTGGCAGTTCATTCCGCTGTGGCGACCCCTATGCCGAAGGAAAATGAATGAAAGCTTGTAATTGTTTGAGATATCAACTTTAAATTTGGCATGTAATTTATTCAGGTATTCAGCTTTGCCTTTCCGTCCAGTTTGGTTTAAACTTGTAAAATGCAAATGTTATGTAAAATCACTTTTGTTTTATTTGATCACGTTTGGTGTTTTGGCCTCTTAGTAGACTTCTAGCACATGTTTTGATCATTTCTGACCTCAAAAAACTCCTCTAATGTCTGCAGTTGTCCAGCTACTGGAGAGTGTTTCATCATCTGACTGGAGCTTCCTCACCATGGCTCTAATAGTGGACATGGGAATTTGCTTTTTCTGTTACACTTTCTGTCTTCTGAAGCTCTATCTTTGCCTTTACTCTTTGTGATCACGTTTATATATATCTTTTAACCTACACTGGCCTGTTTTCTTTAATTCGCTGCATGCTAAAAATAAATAAGCAAATATGAGTGTAAACATTCTTCAGAAATATTCTCCCCATCAGAGATTTAGGGGTGCCAATAATTCTGTCCAATGTGTGTAATGGATAGGAGAAAAACATTTGTTTCATAAAGAGATTTTCAATTGTTTTTATTTCCGTGAAAAGGTTTTAGAGTTTTTGAAAAGTTCACATCCACAAATATATATATATAGACCATGTCAATATGGTCATGTCATTGGCCTTTTGACATTTCCTGCTTGTTATCAAATTTCATACCTGTATCAAGAGGCGATTCAATCATAACTTAATGTTAAAACAGCTATCATAAGAATATTGATCAATATGTGCCTCTTTTATATATATAAACACAAACAATCACTGATAAAGTGACTTTGTGTTTTGATAGTGTGTAACTTGGCTAAGCTTTATACCTTTTTAGCGCTGAAATCATCGTAAAACACTATTTTATTAAACAGATTGCTGATATTTGTGTCTTATTTTGAAGTATTACTTTGGCAGAGGTCAGTCAGGCTGGGGGTTTGACCTCACCAACATGGCTTCTGCAGTGTCATCATGACGCGTCATCGCAGGAAGCTCCTTTTATCGCGTCACTTCCGAAAAATGAGTAAGCGTCAGATCACGTGACAGGCTCCGGAGCTCTCCTTCTCCGTCTAGTTTTGATTAATAACTGTAATTAATGTTGCGGGTCGGTGCGGACGGTCTCCGGTGTGTACTGAACAGCGGCGGCAGCTTCGCTGTGGAGCGGCGCTCGGCGGAGCGTCTCCTGCGGTGCGGTACGGGCGTTTCTCTGCGCGGGATCTGCAGTGTGGGCTGCGGAGTCACGTGACCCGCGCGCGCTCCGGTAAAGATGGCGGCCGGCGGTTAGAAAACAAGCAGCGCGAGCAGCGGAGACATCCTGATCCTGCGGAGCACGGACACCGACAGCAGAGCGTGTTCCCCCGCCGCAGGTACGCCCTCAGACCGCGGAATCACAGCTGTTTGTGTCCCGGTCACCGCTGCGCTCTGTGTGGTGGCGCTGCGCGGAGGAATATCGAGTTTAATCGCGTTTCTCCTGAAGCGGAGGAGCAGCTAATGTTAACCTGAGGCACCGCTAGCACACACACACACACACTCACACTCAGAGACATACACACACACATCTATCACACGGCGCATTCACACACTCATTCTGCTTTAGATCGGTTTAAACTCGGTTTTCTTGTGTTTATGGGTTGTTTAGCAGCTCTATGGCGGTTTTAGATGATGACGGGCTCCTGAGGGAACATTAGCCCAGAGCCGCTGCACCTCACGCGGCTGCAGCTCCACCGAGGAGAGCCTGTTTTTCTGTGTTTATCTCTTTCTCTCTCTCTGTGTGCGTGTTTGTTTGGATTTGCGTATGTTATCATCATCATCATCATCATCATCATCATCATCTGTGTGTTAAGTGTGTGTTGTTGAGCTCAGTGTTTGTGTCTTGACGTGTGTTTAATAACGTTATCCGTCAGCTCCTCCGCCAGATCTCAGTTCTCCAGTGTTTGCTCATAATAAATCAAGCCGTTATTACTAGTTAGCGGTCAGCTGCTCAGTGTTGGTGTTAGCTGGTTGACATTAGCACAGTCAGACCAGGAAGTGTCTCCTTGGATTCGGGCTGGACAAACACGTGTGGAGGTGATGGTGAGCCGTTAGCTGCGCTAGTTTAGCATGTTATGAGTGTGCATGAGCTCTTTAATAGGGTTATGCTCAGATTTAACTCTTGTGTGTTGCTCAGATTGACTCTCATTTGGTGATGTTGGAGCCGTTTTCGCCTCATTGACTTCCATTATAATCACATTTATTGATTGCAAAGTCATAACCGCATATGATCATGCGTTCTTGATTGCTGCTGGTTTTTCTTGTGGGGAAGAGAGACAGCGTGTCATTTTTACTGTTCATCATCAGTTGCAGTGCTAAAAAAAAGCTTAGTTTCTGGCGTTTATATGATGTGTTGTGGTGTGTGTGTGTGTGTGTGAGAGAGAGAGTGAGAGAGATCTTTGTGCACTTCCCTTGGTCGGTGTGTGAAACTCTAAATGCCCCCTCAGCTGTCAGAACACAGTAAACACAGTGAGAGTATTCCCACACACACACACACACACACACACACACACACACACACTATAATCTAGTGTTTTACTCCATATACAGGACAGCAGCTCAGCACAGGCTGACGGTGCAGTAGGTGACCGTCTTCAGAATCATGTGTTGGAAGTCTCTTCACATTCTGATAGTAATGATTAAAGTAAATGATCTCAATGTGTTTATCTGTGTTTTTATATTCTGGCTGAGGCAGAAGACTAAAAAATGTCTAGTTTATTGGGCTGATAATTTCCATAATTCTGATAAGAATCCCAAACTGTCTGTCAGCAAATGTAGATTTGTATGTAACCCTGCCGGTCCTACACCATCTAACCCGCTCCGAGCTGGGA